GGTATCGAAACCCGGATTCTAGCGTTGTAAGTCCGCAGACATACCGCTGTGCCACTGGGGGGGGGAGTACAATATGACAAATGAATTAGTGGTCAAGGCGCTATTTATACACAACATCCGTTAATGTTATAGTGCGAAGTACATTAACCATTAAGTAAGTAATGTCTAAGAACTTACAATTAAAAATAAAGAATATGGAATATTATGTCAACCAAACCATACTATATCTAATATACGCCGCCTATATCCAGTGCATTTCATTTTCTTAAACTGTACTTATATTTTAACTTAAATTTTACTAACGACGTAAAGTCAAACTCGTTTCGTTAGTTTGATATCCAAACACCACGAGTGCTAATACTAAAAGTATTAGTAAAATATGGAGTTTAAATGTATATATCAATATTACACACCCAAATGGTAAATACATATTTCTTTGAAATAAATATCGATAAATTATCGTTAACTAATTCCATTCTTTACTTCACGACTTACACTTCAACAGCTGTCGGTGCCATCACACAAATCTCATGTGCCTAACTAGAAGAAAGTGGTTTTGCGACAACTTACTTGAACCTTTGAACGACAATATTCTCGCTCCTAAAGACATAGCATCGATATCACTCGGCACGTGACTTTTCGAAGATAATTGGCTCAAAGACGCCAAATGATTCTTGTCTTCAAAGTCACCTTGTCTGTTCAAAGTTTATAGAACCGCATTCTGTTGCATATTCTGGTTGTAAGAAGATAAAAAACAAAAGATGTTTACACCTAACAAGCAGTTGTTGGAATTTGAAAAAATAGCAATAACCTGATAATCCAAGGGCATGATTTAGCACGTTTCATTTATATATATATTTCTTTTATTATAATTATTATTATTTTATTATTACTGATGCACCATTAGAAATTTGCAATGTTTTGTAACATGAGTAGATTGACACTATTTTAAATTTATATTACGTTTAAACAATTAAAGATAAAGCTTATATGACTACATTTTGAAATTAATATTTTTCTTTCATAAATTATTGTTCTACGGACTTACAACGCTAAAATCCAAGGTTCAATTCTTTGCGGTGGACACAGCAGAGAGTTCAATGTAGCTTTGCTTTAAAAATACAAAACAAAAACAATGTTTATACATACCTAATTAACGTTTCACTGTCTATTTTTTTTTCTATAAATTTGTTCGTAACATCGTTGGTTCATAATTGTTCCACATGTTAAGCAAAGATCAAAATGAAGCAAATTAAGTCGATATTAATATGATTATATAGATCTTTTGATAAGCTGTGTAGCTACACATTTGTAGTCATTTATTATGGAGAGGTTGTCGGGGAACAGACGTCAGACTGTATCCAATTTAACTGGTTTCTTCAGTAGTGGTCAAGGTTAAACTATTAAAAACAAAAACTTTCACATTGCACAAAATTAGGATTAGAGTTACCACAGAGAAATCAGCGCTAACTGGTTGCCGTTCCATGATATTGATTTTTGTTTTTATGTTTTATAGCAAAGCCACATAGGGATATCTGTTGAGTTCATAACTTTAGTGTCCGATCAACTAGAGGTGCTTAATTAAAAGATTCGGGACTCGGCCCATAGCCACGGGAATTGTCGGCGTTTCAGTATAATAGTTTTTATTCTGATTTTTTGAGACATCAACTGGGGACTTGGGGCAATGTCAAGTAGCATCATGGCACGAGCCCCATGTGTCAATGCCTAACGACGCCTTTGGTAAGAGGTCCGTAAACTTACCGCTGAACAATCGGAGCCCCACAATGGTACAGCGGCATGTCTACAGATTTACAGTGATAAAAACCGGGTTTCAATACCCGTGGTGGGCAGAGCACAGATAGCCCATTGTGTAGCTTTGTGCTTAACTTCAAACAAACAAGACTCACCGGGGACCCGATCATGAAATAAGATCTGAAAATGGGACTAATTCATGAGAACAGAAAAATGTATCAGTTTGAAATGTTATAAATGTCTTACTAGCGATCGTTTGTTTGTTTTTGAATTTCGCGAAAAGCTACACGAGGGCTATCTGTGCTAGCCGTCCATAATTTAGCAATGTAAGACTAGAAGGAAGG